ACAATAATATAGTCAAAAATAATTTATTTTTTTTACTGTCTTAATCACGTATTCATTGGCCACAGCATTCTATATAGAAGGTAAACTAGCTATCTATGGTTAAAAAATTTGTGAGGTACTCATATACAATTTTTAATTATAATCGTTAATTAATAATTTGTATAATTTATATAATTTGTATATAATTTAGTAATGAATCACTTTTACTCATTGTACATAAAATTAAGTTGTAAGTAAATTTTACTAACAAGTTAAAGCCTATCTCTTATTTTATAGAATATATTTTTAGGACTACAGAGTGTTCCCCTTTTTATTTTGTTTATATAAATTTTACTGTACGATTATTACATCATTTTTTTAATGGCAGAGATAATATAAAGAAAATATTTTACTTTAAATCAACAGGTTTTACGGGTTTTTTTACGGCTTCCGCAAATAAACTGCCTGTCGTTGTCATATAAATATAATATCGTGTGTTCATTACTTAAAACAGTAATTATTTTTTTATAACAATTTTTAATTCTTAAGTCTGTATAATATTAAAGTCTCTATCAATACACCTACATTAAATCAAAAGATAAAATTGGCATGTATCAGATACCTAAATGCATTTAAAATTGATGAACTCCAAATTGAATTTCAGGATTAGAACAATGTGACTAAAGCAAGATTTTTTGTAAAAGTTGAAATAATTTTGAATACTGTTCTTGCATGTACGTATACTATATTCAGTTTAGAGGGAGCCTGAAACAAAATAACAATTTATGGAGGAATAGGATAAAAAACAAAACATGGGAGAAACTCTCGTGCTATAAATGTTCACCAAGCAAACACCTTTTTCCTTTAGATCAATGGAGATATTGGGAAGTTAAAGGTAAAGTGTATAGACCACTAAAACATACCAATAAAAAGCACGTTGCCTTAAACCTGGTTGAGTTCTATAGTGAACTATAAAGTAGAATTCCCAGTCCATGATTTAAACTGAACTGATGATGATTTGAAGCATAGAGGAATCTTTTCATTTACAGTGGTGTCATCGTTTTATACAATAAAATGATTTTAAAATCATTTTCTGGGTTATAATGTTATTTTCATATTACACAGTTTATATGATTCTTCATATCTGAGTCAACAAAACAACATAAGTCCAACTTGTTGAGGGTGAAACCTATATAAAAAACTGTATGCTAACAGTGTTTAAATTGAAAGGATTCTTCTTTTTCTTAGGTTGAAACAATAGAACTATATATCTCTTCCATAATTAATATAAGGCCCATAATTATAAGATTTATAATTAACAAAACAAATTAGTTATAGTACTTCACAATTATTTTGTTTATTGATTATTTAAATCAATTAGCTAAATCATTGCTAATCATGTGCTGCTCATGCGATTTACAAATCTTTCTGAAATCTAATCAAAGCCGGTATAAATGTTAGCAATCGACTTAATATGCATCATAAAATATTTCGGTGCTTATTTCGGTCGTTAAGTAAATTCTGATAAGTCAAAAACAACTAACATTATCATGGCCAAGTACAATTTTTACAGCACCTGAGTTAATCGGAAATGTTGGCGTAAATTCAATTGCCAAGAAAAAAGAAAAATATTAGCTAAAACTATAAACAAAATAACTAAATTCTTCAAATCAAATTGCGAAGTTTGGCGTAAAACTGAAAAGCTCAAGCTCATAAGAGTGTGAAGTTAACCGCCTGCGACATTAGCTTTTATTAGAGGCAAATTTACAATTTGTTAACTGCAATGACTAAAAAAGATAAAAATGTATGCGACAATAAAATAATAAAAATATGAAACCAAAATCGTTTTATACTTTATGATTACAACCTCAAACATTGAACAATTACGATGAGCTATTTTAGCTAAGTTTATACTCATATACAGCGCAGACATATATGTATGTATGTAGGCATGAACATGTGTTATGTACTTACGTCAAGCCATAATTATTAGAGTTTATGGCAGACGTTACGGTATTATAAAGGTTATAACGTATCATTCTCTGATTATATAAAATGAATTGTGCTCAGTTTAATTACCTAATGGTCATAACACGAAAACGGAAGTTAGATGAAAGGATAGCGAGATTCTGAAAATAATTTTAAAATATAAGTTTTACATATAATAAAAAAACATGCTAATACGAGTATGTGCTTGTTTATAGACATCAAATACGGTGTTTGAAGGTCTGATGATAATGTTTAAAGACGTTGTTCCATTACTTTTACTTGCATTTAAATATTATTTTTATAGTGTAGTTTTATAGTTTTTATGCAGTTGTTTTCATATAAACTTCATATAAACCTCTACATTAGATAGTGAAGCAGTAATTAAGGTTTTAGATTCCCTATTTCCTTTAGATATTGAGTGGATAAACTCTCTCTGTTTGCAGTGTAACATCTTATCAAAATATAAGTCTCTTACTGATAAGAAAATAGTGGCGTGTACACAGTGTAGGCAAAATTATTTACCATAACCTTTCTCAAATACTTGAAGATAAGTTAAAAAAGTATTTACTATATTTCTGTCAATCTGTTAAATGAAAAACTAAAAACAAAGGCTGTGATTTGTCTGACTTAATATTTTTGATTTACACATACAACAATAAATTTAGCCGAGCTATTTCTACTAAATCAGTGGATAACCTCAACAGATTTGTCATCCTTTCATTGGCTCTCCCAGAGCATGTTCCACCTTTTACTTTGTCCTAACTTACATCGGTGCTAGTTGGAGTTAGATGTACCAATAAAAGAAAATTTAGTTAATTATTTACTTAAGCTCCGCTGGTCCACCGTAACATGCACATTTCTGCCATATAAAATTTTTGAAATTCTTCTAATAAAATCACGAAATGCAGTCTATTGATAGCGTCTATTGGTAACTAAATTTGATCTTCTTTCAGTGTTGCACCCAGTGTTTAACACTTTATAAACTTATGAATACATTTTAAATGTATTTAAATTTCACGATCTTGAAATTTTATATGTGGTAATTACGGGTATTTACTTAGAGTGATAAAATAAGTAATATAGTCGATACTTAAATAGAAATATATAGTATTTATTTTTTCGAAAAACTAACAATAAATTTCTTTCATGCCTCTATTTTGATTATCACAAAATCTGATTTTTTATTTTTTGGATTACAAAATAAAAATAAAATAAAAATAATTCATATCAAAACTGACTTAGCTGATATTTAAGTTGTCATTCTGTTTCAAGTAGCTTAAATTTAATATAAGATTTTACGTCTGTAACTGACGTTCATTTCTGACGCTTTTATTATAAACACAAATTTTATTGTACTAATTTGTATTAATTAATTACGATTACGTTTATTCTGAATTCATTTTACTGTGGCAAACGAGCGTACGGAAAATTTAGTACGGAAAGTAAACATTTCTAAAACGAACTTAGCACCACAAAGTCTGATAATCATATATTTCTTGTAAAAATCTCTCAACCGACTAAATAATAAATGTATTTTTAATGACAATAATTACTTTCTTATGTTGAGCTGTTAAATGTAAAGTTCATTTACATATATATATATATATATATGCACGGTAATTTACATATACTCGTGCATAGATGTTATATAATGTCAAAAAGTATCTTATATAAATACATTTATAGAAGACATACAAAGTTTCTAACATCTTAGCTTAAATTGACATGACGTTTAAAGTGTATAATAATAATTATGAGCTTTAAAAATTAGAAACATTTATAAGACACAAAATTAAACTATAACTAAAAACTCTAAAATTTCAATAAGAGCATTTTTAAATCATATATGATAACTTTGGTTATGAACATCGTTATAAATTTTAGAATTAAAATAGAAAAGTTCAAAATTTAATATTTCAAAATTGCTTCTTCAACAATCTCATTAAATATTTTATAATTAAGTTTTTTCAATTTGTAAAAGTATTTTATTCAAAAGCAATCACTTTTAATTTTAATTTTTTTACAATAACAAAATAACACACTTTCTTGTTTAATTTTTTCTTTGAAAAAAAAAATTATTCTTGAATTGTTATTAAGAAAGAATAAAACTATTTTGTTCTTAGAAACATAATTAACAGACCTCATGGCCTCCGATTTGGCTGAAATTTTTTTTATGAGCTCCTTTCATAAAATAAGAAGACCAGTATCTCGGAAAAAAAATTTTGTAATTTTTTTCCTAGGAGATATGTACCCAAGATTGACCCTATGCAATTTGTTCATATCGACACGTTCAGTCGAAATTATTTGTTAATTTATCTGTTAGTGATTAATGTAAATAATGTGATTTAAATAATTAAGAAAAGAAAACAAATAATAAATCATTTTTATTATTATCTATAGTTGTCAACTTGTGTAAAATCCCTAGTCCTTTGCTGTTGTTGTAAGAATTCTTGTGTACGTGTGAATGTATCTATTATTGCAGTGAATTCCAAGAAAACTCAATCTGTAAAATATCAGTCTCAAATAAACAATAACAAGTGTCTCTGAAAACAATATTCACTTTATTGACAAATTGTCTCGAAACATTGTTTACAATTTTCACATTTGTATTTCAAATCGTCGGTTATGAAAAGTTGTTAATGCGATAATAAATTTAATTGTCAAGCAACAAAACAATTTTGTTGTAAAATTAGATAAACACAAATTAGAAAATAGTTTCTAGGCACTATTAAACACGAAAAATAATTCTAATTGAATTCGAAGAGTATAAGTCAGATTGCATGTCTGAGATGCATTTCGCATTTAAAAGGTTTTTTTATTTATTATATTATAACTTTATTCAATTACATTTGAATAATCGCTTACACTAACTGCAAGCCGTAATCACTAATTCTAAATTCTGTTTAAAGCAGTTTTCACAATAATTTCATGTCACGTTCTAAAGTTAAATAACACAAAATTCCTTTCCTAATATTTTAAAAAATTTATTCAATTTCACTTTTACTGAAACATGTACAATTTTCATTTTACAGACTTCATAATACCACAACGTGTCATACTGGCGATAATGGGCTTTCTGGCCATATTAAACGCCTACACAATGCGTATTAGCTTGTCAGTGGCTATAACACAATTGGTAGTCAAGAAGAATCACTCAGATGAAGGTTCGGATACTGCATTTTGTGAAAGTGATGATTTGGATTCAGATTCAAGTGTAAGTATCGAAATTTTAAAAACTTAAGATTATGTTCAATAAATTAATCTTGTGTCTGCCACATCTAATTTTATTAAATAAAAATTAGTTAAGATGGAGTCTTCGATCATTACATTATATTATCTTTTATTGGACCTTTTTTTAGACATTGACAATATGTGTAAAATATAATACAACATCAATTCAATATCATCTACGGAATATTTTACAGCACTCGATTACTTTGAAGTTGAATAGTGGTTTCACACAATCCATGTCAGTGGTGATAAATTACATAATCTATGTGACCAATTCACATTATCTAAACGCAAAATTATACGTCCTTAAATTTCTCGCCTAAAAAAAGCTAAAACAAGTCCTGTTATATGTCTAAATAAACATATCTGCTGAAACTATATATCTTTACATTCAAATCTTAAATTTCACGCTAAAAAATTGGTAATCATGCGTCTATAACGATCAGATTTTGACTCTTCATTGTCAGTCTTCGTACACACTAAGGGCTTATCACCTCTTTATATAATAATAATAATAATAATCTTTCGTCAGGTTTTTGTGGATTTCCAATATCTTATTGTCCCATATACTGCAATTTTATTGTAGACATACCAACTGAAAAATGAGATTAATTTTTTAAGCATTCACGTGAAAAATAGTCACCTTCCAAATGTAAGTCTATAAATTAAATATATGATGTGCTGATTGACTGTTCTGTATAATATGACACTAAAAAAATATTGTTAAATGAAAGCCACGAAATGCATAATCTCTTATTACTTGAGATGAACTTCATAATATTCAACTTCTTGTCAATATGGACACTATTGTAAACTCATGATATATGTATTTCCAAAACAATCTAGTAATCATATAAGATTATCAGAAATATTGTGTAGCTAACCACGTATGATACTTTAATCTTGAAGTTTATACTGCAATACAAATAAGATTTTAATGCGGATTTATGAAATTCATGAAATAAATTGTAAGACATGTGAGCCTGATTATAGTATATTTAATCTTATGTCAGAACTAACTTTACCTAATTTGACGATTTGTTTTTCTCTCAGCCTCCTCCATTAAAGTAAGTCACTATTTATTTCTATTCGTTATTTTATTATATATATAGATATAAATTTGTTAAAACAGTCATGGCGAACTTTTTTATAAGCGTGAAATATTATAATTCTTTTAGTTTTGAGCTCAGAAGGTGCTCAGAACATGGTATCTATAAAGTGTTTTAAGAGGGCAAAATATACCAAAAAAAGGGTGACCCCACTTGTAACACTTGCCTAATGTTTTTGGTTACAAAGAAAATGTTAACGTTCAACGTTCTAAATTTTTATTTTATCTTAATTTATATTTTCTTCTCTTTCACTGCTGCTACTGTTATTCTTAATATTTTTATTACCTAGTTCCGTCTATGCGCGAGTATGAGTGTAAGTACATATCAAATGTGGTGAAAAGTAAAATTTCAACTTAACCTTACAAATTTAGCATTTCGAAAAAAAGTTAGTACAATTTGAAGTGCACTATTTAACTATTTTATTTAACTATTTAACTATTTATGTCTTAAAGACTTACGAGAGTCACTATTTATATTTTAAGCCTAATAATAATAAAAATATTAACTTGTCGTTGGAAATTGGTTTATTATTTCGCGTAGTATTCTCTTTTATGATTAATACACTTTTGCATTCGTTCGACCCATTTGTCAAAGCATTTTTACCAATCGTCTTCAGACACCTCTAAGACGATCTAAAACGATTAAATGCAACAACGGCTTCGTTGTTTCACTCTTGTTGATCGATGCACTCTTGTCATGATAATCGACGTCGAAAGTCGTAATAATTTTCTCGTATTAATTCCAATTTTCCGCAAACACTCAACACTGAATTTACAAATCACTGTAAAGAACACAAATAACCGTTTTTTTTACAAAAAGTCTAAGGTAGATTATGTCTTATAATATCAAACATTCGTATGGAAACAAGCCAAGGCTCAAAATATAAATAGTGTTATTTGAACACAAATATTTGCTTTAAATCTTAATTTTTTTATATATCAAAGTTTCATGCCCTATTATTATTAGAAAAGACAGAGGTACATCAAGACTTCTGGAATGTAATACATTCCATATCCCTAAAGGCAATCTTCTCAATTCAAGATAGAAAAGTTAAGGCTATTGATGAACTTGAACTTGATCTTGTTTCAACATTCCTAACCACACTCGGTTCTACAGACATATAGTACTACTAACCTTACTACTAAGTTTGACTGTGGTCTTTGTCTTTTCACGACGAATTTTGTGATGATCATCCTAGAACGGCTGTTGTACCATGTAATCAGCGATGCAGTGCGAGAAATGATTAAGATGTATGGGCATGTCACATACCGAGAAATAGAGGCTTAAAAGAAGGAATAGAGAAATAGAGGCTGATTGTTGCAAGGAAATACTGAAAAAAAAACGGCCAAGTTAGCTCAAAACACGTCTACGGTACCGTAAAAGGTAACGAAAGTTAGCAGAACCCGGCAAAAGTTGTACGCGGATGAAGCAAATCTAAACAAGTGGTGCCTTTTTTTTCAGAAAAACCGGTCATGTCGCAACTATACCTCTTGAACAATGTAGAACGGTTACAACCATTTGTTTCCCGGATGGCTTCGGAGAATTGAAAAGACCCAACCGTCCCAGGAAGACAATCCTCTACTAAGACAATGCGGGCTTCCACATATCGGCTCACATAAAAAATAGTTTTTGAACACTCAAAACGTCGAATTGATGAGTCATCCGCCTTAAAGTGCCGAGTTAGCACCCAATGATTTCTTTTTGTTTCCAAACATTAAGAATAAATGCGTGGTGGGTGTTTTTTTATGCCCGAATAGGTAGTTGAGACATTCATGACCCTGGTTTTAGAGATACCAACTTCGGAGTGACAAAACTGTTTCGAAAATTGGTTCAATCGAATGCAAAAGTGTATTAATCATAATGAAGAATACTTCGAAAAACAATATAGCCATTTTCACTGATTAACCACTGTGTTTTTATTGTTCGACGAATGCACTATTTTTATTATTAAACATTTATTTGTAAGAACCAACAAAAAGTTGCTCTTTTCTGAAATACAAATGGACATAACATTAAAATCAGAATACGTGACTTTACTTAAGATCGTTGTCAAAGCGGGACGCCCCGTATTCAATAGAATAACCTGTGCAGGTAATAAATTAAAAGTTCATACAACATGTTACTACAGTCACAGAATAAAAGCACAAAATAATCGGCAATATGTTGTAAAACAAATATATTAAGTTCATAAGCTATTAGTTCACGAGTTCGGATTAATTTTCAACTTAAAAGAATCTTACCAAATGTATTCAAAAAACACTAATCAATAGAGCTATGAAAAAATAAACTATTTATTATAATTTTGGTGAATATATTGTCGTCTCATTTTCTTAGATACGCTATATCAATAGATGAAAAACTATTTAATCATTTGTTTTTCATTATATTTTTAAATTTTATTAAGTCTGGTGGCGATTTCGAATGGTCCGAAGAGCTACAAGGTTTTATTTTATCATCCTTTTACATTGGCTATATTGTAACACATATACCAGGCGGCTTATTGGCAGAAAAATTCGGTGGTAAATGGACATTGGGTCTTGGCATACTATCTACCGCTCTCTTTACTATGTTAACGCCATTAGCTATTAATGAAGGAGGTTCGACAGCTCTAATTATTGTACGCGTGTTGATGGGTCTGGGCGAGGGTACAACTTTTCCAGCACTTAGTGTTTTACTAGCACAATGGGTACCAGTTAAGGAACGTGGCAAACTGGGAGCGCTCGTTTTGGGAGGAGGTCAAGTTGGTACAATTTTAGGAAATCTATTATCAGGCATAATGTTGGATGCTTGGGATTGGCCTGTGGTCTTTTATGTTTTTGGTGGTGTTGGCATTATTTGGTTTTTCATCTTTGTAAGTACAAAAATTCTATTGAACGTTCCTATGACGAATATGATTTGCAATCAATAATTTTTTTGATTTTTTTAGTGCTTCTTGTGCTTCAGTGACCCTACAACACATCCTTACATAAAACCTAGTGAGAAAGAATACTTATTGAGAGAAATGGGTTCAATTGGTCGCAACGAAAATCTACCACCCACACCCTGGATAGCTATTATAACCAGTTTACCAATGTGGGCACTAATATCTGCACAAATTGGTCACGATTGGGGTTTCTATATTATGGTTACAGATTTACCAAAATATATGTCTGATGTATTGCAGTTCTCCATCAAAGCCAATGGCTTGTACTCATCGTTGCCATACGTCATGATGTGGATTGTGTCGCTAAGTTCTGGTTTTGTTGGCGATTGGTTAATCACACGAAGAATTTTAAGCATAACAAATACGCGTAAAGTTATGACAGCACTAGGTATTTCCACATGAATATTAAAGAGAATATTTATTGTTGTTAACATGTGTTTTACTTATTACAGCTGCGTTTGGACCCGCTATATTTATGGTTGCTGCCTCTTATGCTGGTTGTGATCGTGTTGTTGTTGTTGTTCTGTTCACAATATGCATGGGCTTAATGGGTACTTACTATGCGGGCATGAAATTAAGTCCCCTCGATATGAGTCCAAACTATGCCGGGACTTTGATGGCAATTACAAATGGCATAGGTTCGATTACTGGAGTAATTTCACCATATTTAGTTGGTGTTATGACACCAAACGTAAGTTAATATTTCTCGTAAAATGTTTCCAAATCATTCATCTTTTCAATGCAATTTCATATGAAGGCGTCTTTATTGGAATGGCGTACTGTGTTTTGGGTAGCGTTTGGTGTGCTTTGTGTGACTGCTGTCATATATTGTATATGGGCTTCTGGTGAAGTGCAACCATTTAACGATCCACCACAGAAGAGAAATATTGAAGCAGAAGAAAAGCAAGAAAAACGAAAGGAAGTACATTAAGACTGTAAAAAAACAGTAACAAAATTAAGCACAATTTAGTTCATAAATCTATAATTCAGTAAGAGCAACTAACTAATTTTTTATTATTGCTTTTTAGTTACTTTTTTTGTTTTTGTTTAGATTTTTTTTACTTTTTTGTTTTATTTGAAATTATAAGTGCATAAACTTAAAAAATATTAACAGTATTTCAAACATATGCAAGAGGTACACAGTTTTCATCATATGCGGTGCATAAATATTCGTCAGTCTGTTAGATTATAGGTGTCTTGAAGCCTACTAATGTATGCAATCATTAGGTTCCAAACAATACTAAATTTATAATTTTTTAGTTATTTTTTTAATAATTAAATATTATTTTATTTTGTATAAATCAAATGTAATATAAATAATAAACAAAGTAATGGGGCAGAAGATAGATAAAGCCGATATGAACTGTTGTTACTATCAGGCCAACATGTGAAAGACATTGCGTCTCAAATATACTGATCATCACATGTAGAATCATGTTAATATTTAGTACTTTATGTAACGTGCTGAGTTGCTAAATAATGTGTATTTTGTACAAAATAACTGATTTAAGTTGGTGACAACTAAGAATCTTGCGAAATTGAAATAATATAATATTAAATATTGTATTGTATATGTTCTATGTTAAGCGAATTTATATATATATATCATCATATTTTTCCACTGTAAGATATTTTAATTGAACATTATTTTTTTAGACCATGATTACTGTTTATTATTTTTATTTAATCGTATCGCCACTTGTAAAATGATGTATATTATTATTAGGTATTTAAAAAACAATATTATATATGACATTCGATTTTAGTTACATTTACTATATGTCTTAATCTTGTCTTTATCTTATTTTATTGTTTATTGTTAAATAATATTAGTTCCTGTTTAAAAATATCTATAAAAATAAAGAATTTATTTAAAAAAGTAAAACATTGAAACATTATTATTTAATTAGATTGAACTTAATTGCAAGCATAAATGGTGTGATATAGGCCTGATATATAGAACTACTAAATTATATCAAATACAAATCATAAAGACAACAGATAACAGTTGGTTTGTTGCAGTGGTAGGCCATTGGATAACTTCCATGTGCCTCAATTAGCGATTTTTGGCCGTTTTGCTATCACATTCCTAACAAAAACCTCTAGTATAGAAGAGGAAGACTAAATCCATCTCGTCGAATAATTTATTAGGTCTTTCGTCTTCACCGATGAACAGTCTGATAACCTATCAAAGAAGTATCTTCCTAAGAACTTATATCTGCTGGACGCCAAAGCCGAGCATTCACAGAGAAAATGTATTATGGTTTTTTTTTCGTGCGGGTTTCCACAACTTCTGCAGTGTGGATTATAAGAAATACACAATTACTCTGCGTGGGTTCCTATCACCAATGACCAAAGAGAACTGCAGTAAGCCTTGCAGTGTTCACGCGGTCTGTTTTGATGAGTTCTAAGGATCTAATTTTATTATAAGTGGGCAATGTTAACCTGGACTTTAGTTGCACATGATTTAAGTGCTTTCCATCTGTTATTGGCAAGTTGAAGAAAGTAGAGATAAGTACTTTTCTTAATAACCTCTAGGGTAATATAAACCGGTACCGCCAGGTAAACCGTCGATTTTCTCGTTCCTTTCGATGTTCCTATGTCCGGGAATCCAGATGAGAATGATGTCAGCCAACCGATTCAGCTCGTCGATCGCATCTCTACATTCCTTTATTATCATTGATTTCGTTATGAAAGATTCAAGGGCTTTGATTGCTGCCTGACTGTCAATTAAAATGGCAACGCTAAATTTGTCCTTGATGTTATTTGCAATTTGCCGCCAGGCTTTTCTAATTGCTACGATTTCAGCTTGAAAAACCGTGGCCTTATTAGTTAGCCTAAGGGAATTGTAGGAGTTTTACCTCTATTACAGATTAATAGATTGGAATTATTAATAAAATCAAAAAGGTACTCACCCCTGTCATTGGTTTCCGAACTGCCACAAAGCGTATGCGTCGCATTGGCGTTGCATCCAATTAATGTGGGAATGCCTTTCAAAATGCTACTACGTACTAGTGCAATTACCTCTTCTGGAGGAGCAATTCTATCATGCGCCGTGTAAGCAGAAGCCACAATTAAATTTAGCCTAACTGTTATTTCAATCTTCACTACTGTTAGATCATTATCGCTATACTGTGGACATAAGAAGACATTAATACATTTTTTTTTCCTGTGCATTACCTTTGCGGGTTTCGGTAAGGTGGCCTGGTACTTCTTGTAGTCATCTATCACCTTTTGATATCGTATTTTGTCTGCACGATCAAATGCCTTCTCTGTACCTTCCGCTTCATTTTTAGCAACCTTGCCAAGACGAAAAGTGCCTTCTAGTACCTTTGACGTTTGATCTTTGCCTTAGATTTTTTGTCTTTGCAGCAGGCGAACTATGGCTAGCTTGTTTGCCGACTTTTCGGTTATGGTGATAGTAGACGTGGTGCAGCTGCTACTACCTACATCAGCTCGTTTGACGGTTTCAACTTGCTCGATTTCTTGGCTTGACGCCAGAAGCTCGTTCTCGAAACTAGTGCCTAGTTCTTTGTCTATTTTACAAAAATTTTTTTGTTTTGAAAAGTCCATTTGTGTTCCTACGAGTGTAGGGGAGAGAAAGGTCATCCGAAGCACAGTCCCATGTACTTCGCCAGGTATTCGGAGTTCACTGTTCTAAGATACACTCACGCAGTGCCATCCTTGGGTACGGTCGTTCATACACCAAGGATTGCGAATTTTATCGGGTTTTCCCCAGGTAACAGTATTAAATTACCAAATTAAGATACAGCCTTTAGTTTACTTAATTTAAAGGCTAAGTATGAAATTGATTACTAGCTACTGCTAACATGAAATATATGCATTACGCAATTAAGTTAGGCATACAAACAGAAATAAGTACACAGATATAAATAATAATAGAAATAATAGTACACAGATCACAGATAAATTCGAACTTGAGAATAATAATACTGGGATAGATATACTAGGCATTTCATCCAAAAATCCTTGCCCTTGGTCAAATATCCAACTGTATTTCAAGCATTCAAGAGTACAAAGGTTTTCAACGTATAGTGACATTCTGTCAACGGTGATTTTAATAAACTGATGACATAAAAATTATAAATCCATAAACAGTTCATTTAAAAAGCATCTAAGAATTATTTGTCAATAATTTTTTTAGTTTTAATCATATATTTATTAAAATAATTGAAGATAAAATTAAACATAAGAAATATAATTTGTTTCATTATCTATAAACTTTCAATTCATTATATGTTTGGGTAATTCTTTATATACTATTGTTATATTTTTTGCAATTCAGCGAGTTATTAGAGCTTGTTCACAAACTTTTATTTTTTGTGTCACTTTTTTAAAAAATTGTGTTTTTGTTTTTACGGACTGAGATTTGTGGATTAAAATGCTTTCGGCTGGTGAGCTTACAAAGTTATAGCTTCTATTAAATATTTTTATTATATTGTCAAAATTGAATTGTCAATGCCAATTCTTAAAACCCCATGGGTCCATTTCTCCTAGGAAAAAAATCACAAAATTTTTTCCCGAGATACGGGTCTTCTTATTTTATAAAAGGAGTTCATAAAAAAATATCAGCCAAATCAGAGATCATGAGGTCATTTTTTGCCAAAATCCGTCCGGTTTGTAAAAGCATCACCCATATACATCAAAGGCTGTTTAGCTAAAATACTTTTTTAAATCTGATAATATTTAAAAACTAAACCCAAAATTGTTTTTTCGCTATGAAATGTATCTATGTTCTGACAGCGGTTTAACAGAAAGTCGAATTCCGTATGTTGACTAAGTAAAACTTTTTTAAAAAACATAAGATTTCAAATGAAAGGAAGACTGATCTAACATTACAGATACACAGTAATTTCATATGGTATGATTCAAAAGCAGTTTATCGACTTTGCTAAGAACATAGAACGCAGAAGTGAGGTAATAACTCCCAATATTATGGGTGTGTAATCATTGTTTTAGTATTATATTAATGGAAGATCATAAATTTTACAACGTATTCTTAAACAATTTCTATATCGATTGTTAATTATAGACGGAACATAGATATATCACTATAATCCGGAAGATAAAGTGCAGTCAAAACATTGAATATATATGTTATGCCCCACAAAAATGAGACTATCCAAAAGGGCAAGTGCAGAATAACCATTAAATACATTGTTTAGTACACTAAAATAATGAAAACAGCTCAATCAATCAATCAATCAGATAATATGGCTTTTGTTTTTTGGGATATATATAAAATGACGATTGATTCGTTTCTAAAAGGCATAAGAATAACCAGCCGATATTACACGACGATTTTAGATTCTTTAAATGCTGAAATTGAAAAATCAAGTCCACTTTTGAAAAAGAAACAAATTCATGACAATGATGACAGTGACAATGCATCGGCCCATTAGTTAGCAATTCCGACAGCAAAATTTGTTAAGTTAAATTATGAGATGTTGCCACATTAACAGTATTATCCAAATTTGTCTCCATCTGATATTTCGTGATATTTAAATTAAAAAAGTGACACTATGAACAGTGAATGTGTTGAAATTCTTAGAGATTTGCATTTTTCGTATGGTATTACAGCTAATATATAGAGCACATAAAATATTATGCCCCATTTAAATTTTGTAATTACTTTTTGGCTTCATTCAAAATGAGATTGACAATTTTTCTATTGAGATTATTTTTGATATTAAATCATTATGGAAAAAAGTTGATATTCCTAGCGTCCGGACACCGGACATGGCATAACTAAGCTAACATACCGTTCGCCGTTTATCATTCAAACAGCTAAGTGATTGTGCAATACATCGTTATTGTTTTCTAAAGTCGATTAGTATAAATTTGGATAATACAGTCTAACATACCCAACGTAGACGTTGTGCATAAATAAATAAAACCACATTCAATTCATCTCCAATATGTAAAAGTTTCTTATTCTATGCAAAGAGTTTTGTTTAAGATATTAATTAGATAAAACATTTTTCGGATAATCATACTAATATAAAATTCTGAACGGATTTAGAAAAACCACGCCGAAATAATAGCCGATTCTGATCTGTCTGCAGTACAATTTAGAATTGCTAGTTTGACCATGATTGAAACTTTGCATTATATACTGATGTAATAGTACTTTCCGCCGTACTTATCAATTGTAAATGATGAATACAAAATTTCCACACGATTAAGTGACCAATGAATTAATTCACGAATCCAGAAAATTATGTATGCTCCTTCTTTAGAAGCAGAATGCATCTCTAATAGCTGTTTCGTATATATGCGTTATCAAGGACTAGTACAAAGTTTCTTATTAAATTTCTGGCACTTATACCTTAACTGAGCCGTATCAGGCTACGTACTAAGACGATTTTACGTTTTATTTTTACGTACGGTTTTCGTATAACGTAATTTCAGTTCTGAGCTGCATAGAGTACTAAATAGATTAACGCGTTATGGTATACCATAGCGTACGCTTATTCAATAATGACTTATTATTACGACTATCCTGAACAATTTTCTAGTATGAATTGTGGATTTTTAGAATTTTGAAAAGAAAGAATAGTTTTATAAAATACTGTTTAGG